TACTGCTCTACACCACAGACCTCTCCTTTCAATTTGGTGACAACAGTTGAAATCCAGGGAGCTCTAGCCAGCTGGTAAGCTAGACAACCAGAACCTTACCAGTTGACCGTACCTATGGTAACACAAACAAGAGTATTGTGCTCAGATGTGATGCATGATACCATAGTTTTTTAAGTTTCTATATACTAAAAAAAGATTGGAATGTAATCCATACAAATGTTAAAAGGGGTTACTTCAGCGTGGCAGGATTATGAGTGACTTTTATTTTCATTTATCTGTATTTTCTATTTTCCTGCAATAAACTTCTATTACTTACATTTAAAATGTAACAAAAGTACATAGGTTGGCTGTGTTAACACTTTATTATAAATATGTTCAAAATATAATTAGCTATCAATCAACAAGTATTAATAACTGCAACCAGAGGATATCAGAACCTGTGCCTGGGAAAAAGAGCCCACTGAGGGTATAAAACATATAAAAGGAAGCTGGAGACAAAATTCACTAACTTCAAAATATTGTCCACCCTAGGTTGGACACTTAAGGGAAACATTCAGTGTGTTTGCTGCATGAATAATCCTGCTCACATTCAGCTAGACATTGCAAAGCAGCATTGTGTTAAAAAATTTTTTTAAGGTCTGCTTCACTATATTTCTAATTTCTTAAACTGACAAGTTTCAATAAGAAATTAAGATATCTGTATTTAAATATAGTGATCATGAGTATGTCAGTATGGTCCTTTGAAGAGAGTACCTCATGCCCTGTACATCATCCCAGATTACTTTGATCCAGTCCACAGGAATGCTTACAGTTGTGATTGGCTGGGTGTATAAAACCCCACTTATACTTTCCTGTTCACAGCTCTACTTTAGAAAGCAAGAACCTCCCTCAAAAAAGAAAAAGACATACTGGAGAAAAGACATACAGGGTGGGGCAAAAGTAGGTTTACAGTTGTGAGTAGGTGAAACAGTTTATTCTTGTATTATTAATTATTATATTATTTTCCATACCAACAACTGCAAACCTACTTTTACCCCACGCTGTATACACCTCAGGAAAAAAATGACTTTATTTGGGGCATCAAGAAAGACTAAATTCCTGGTTTTTATCTATATCATGTTCTGTACTTTCTATCAACTATTTTCAATAGCCTTAACTAGCTTCTTTAAAAATTTTACTTTAGCCCGGCCGGGCGTGGCTCAGCGGTTGAGCATCGACCTAGGATCCAGGCGATCAGGGTTTGATTCCTGGTCAGGGCACATGCCCGGGTTGCGGGCTTCAGGCAACCGATCAATGACTCGTCATTGATGTTTCTATCTCTCCCTCTCCTTTCCTCTCTCTGAAAACAATAAAGATATATATATTTTTAAAAATTTACTTTATTCCTGTAAGTTTTAGTTACTTTAATCAGACCACCATTTAAAGGCAAAGAATTCAGGTAAGGAGGGTGATAATGAAAAAAGTTTGGCGGTAAAGACAGGTCTGATTTGACTTCAGAATACCACTTGCTAGCTGTGTGACTCTGAACAAGACACTTACCCTCTCTGAGTTTCATTTTCCATAACTGTGCAATAAGAATAAGAGCTGCTGTGAGAGTTTAAAGCACTCTAACACAACACTAGATGCAAAACAATATTTTATTTTTATTTCCTTTTCTCGAGAATATTTTTTAAACAAGGGGGAGTAATTTTGGATTAGACAGTTGATAGGTTATCTGGATAGGGTGGTCTTTGAACTGCTAGGGTACAATAAGAAGGCAAAGGATAGCCAATACCAGAGGAGGAAACTGGAATAAGGAAGCCAAGTGTAGACATGCTGCTTGCTGCAGGCTGTTACACTTTAAACTCCCCTACTCAGTTCAATCTCCCCACTCTACGTTTGTCCAGCCTTATACAGTCAAGTCTCACCTGACTGTCACTAGCCCTTTCCAAGTCATAGAAAGTAAAGAATACATAGGAAAACATGGGGGAAAGCAAACAATTGACAATGTCTGCTCTTAGTGACATCCTTCCTCTGGGATCTCTTCCCCCTTCCTCTCTACCTTTATTATTCCTACAGCACATACCTTTTCCTAGAAACAGTAATTCCTATGAATGTGAATGATCTCCTGCACAAAAAATTAACTTAAACTATCAAATTCTAAGTGCCGACATTCTTAAAAGGTACAGGTCTTATTTGTTTCAATGGTTTCTTTGAATATACACATTTCATTGGGTAAAGAAACCTTTGGGATTTTATCTTAAAACCACTTAAGGACATAATCAAAAGGTCTGAGTATCAAACAAAGCCACCTATCTATAACACATCCTGCTCACAAAACTGTCCCAGAAACTCAATATAAACAAAATCCTTCTGTTTATTTCTAGGAGATGATACTGTGGTTTTCTGTATCCAACAGTATGCCTTACATTCCCAAGGCAATTATGTTTTCTTCCTCTACTCAAACAGAGCATCTGTTGCTAACACAACACTGAAGTCCAAGTTATTTTCACAGACAAAAAAGCAGCTGGTCAAGCTAATCCATTTGCTTACTAGCCACCATCAAGCTTCTGTAAGACTGTCCAGTTAACCTCTATTGTCAGATTTCATGAGTTGGAACTTCCAATCCTCTTTCAATTAGAATTTAACAACTGTTCTTTGGCATCACCATTTGAAATCATTTATTACAGATATAAAAACAGAAAACATACTTTAAAACTTAAGGACAAAGGTAAAAAATGGCTAGACTGGATCAGAAAAATAGTTGCATAAATTACCAACAAAAGGAGAAAGTTATTTTAAAGTTGGGATTACGAAATTAATAACAATAGCTAACAGAGAGTTCTCATGTGTGCTAGGCACCAAATGATTTTTAAAAATTAACACAACCCTCACAATAACTCTTTGAGATAAAAACAATTATCATCTCTATTTTATAGATGAGGAAACAGAGCAAATTACCCATGCTCATTCAGCTCATAAATAGTAGGACAGGAGACCTGCTCCAAAGCCATCCTCTTAATAATTTAAGCCCCAAATTCCAATGCCTTACAAAAGGTATATATTCAAGCCATCCTCACCCTTTGCCACTTGCACAGGTACCATCCCTGCTACTACTTTCATTGTAACATTTTATAATAGGAAAGAAAAATCATGCCAGGGGTGTACTACTTACTGTCTTATTTAAAGAGAAATAAAAATCCAGTTTAGTTCATTATTAGCTGAAGTACAGGGTGGGGCAAAAATAGGTTTGCAGTTGCTCATATGGAAAATAATACAATAATTAATAAATAATAATACAAGAATAAACTCTGTTTTGCATATTCACAACTGTGTAAACCTCCTTTTGCCTCCCATAACCCTGTACATAATGGATTCTGCAGTAATTCATGACAACAATTCATGGTTAAAGTATTAACATTAGATATTCTTTAAGCTATAAAACAGTTTTTTTATTTAAAATATTATTTGATACCACCAATGAAATTCAACACATTTTCTGATATTGATAAGTTGATTCTCACTTATCACAAATAAGCTATATTAGTATCAGTAAGAAAGAGGAGGTAATTCTTTGCTTCCTCTGGGGAAACTGCACATGGTATGTGTTGGTACTCATATACATCATTTGGACCTAGACCAAATAAGTTCAAATCTTAGCCCTATGGCTAGTGGTATGACCTTGCACAAATCACAACCTCCTTAAGTCCTTAACAAAGTGAGTGATAATGCATGCCCTGGCAGAATAAAACGATCCGTATTAAAATACTTTTTCAAATTATATTTTATAGCACATAGAGTATTTCAGTACTTATTTTTATAAACTTTAAAAACACTGTATGTTTTCATAATGAATTATTTCACCTGATTTTAAAAATAACCCTACAAAATATTCTTGCTTCCACTGCACAGATGAAAAAATAGATTAATCACAGTTAAGTGATTTGCTCCATATCACAGAGCCAGTAAACAGCAGCATAGAACCCGAGTCTCTGGACTCCAAGTCTTCGCCCTTCCATCTGCCCTGAACTAATAATATCCGTTCAGATATCATATGACTTTTATCTAAAAAATCAAATAAGCTGTGAAATGTTTTACAAATTTAGGCAGAAATGTTTTAAACATGTACATATTAAAAACATACAAATTGTAGTTTTTAAAACTAATAGTCATAGAAATAAAAACTGAGTATACCCAACCGAGTTTCAAGCTACAATGAAATCCCATGCACTTTTGTCAAATACTGTAACAGCCAACACTTAACACATCCCTACACTATTCTCTCCTGCCCCTCGTGCTCCTCGGGGAGGTGAATCCAGGCAAGATGACAGAAAACATTGTCCTAATAGGTCTTTCCAGTGCTTTCTATCTAATAATAGAAAAGAATGGCCGCTTGGATATGCCCTTGTTTTCCCCTGCTACATTATTCATAACGCTGCGTTTCCTTACTGTACTATATTTCAATTACTATCATCTAACAAAGAGAACAGGCTGGCTGATTTCTATATAGGGATTACGGCTGAATATAAATCACTCACTTCTGACTGTACTCAAAACATTGGCTAGGTTCTCGAAAAAAATTTTCTTTTTTAACTGAACCGGCTAGGTCTCTATATCCTTCCCTTAAACTTGTTCGGAAAGTATAAAACACGCCACAATCGCCACTAAGGTAACTGTGACCAGCAACACCGAACTGGCCAAAGAGGGTGCGACCGCTGCCCTGACAACTCTTCAGCTTTTTCCGTCCAATCCACCGACACCAAACACCGAGACCTGCGGAGGAACCAGCCGCGAGGGGTGGGGCGGTGCTAGGGGGACAGGGTTCCCCGTCTGAAGCAGCACGTGCTGCGCCCACAGACCCGGGGCGGGGCGGAGGGAAGAGCACCAGCGGGCGTCAGCGGGCAGACCCCGCGCCCCGGTCCCCTCACCTGCTGCGGTGGGACAAGCCTCCCTCGCAGGCTGGGAGGCCGCGAGCGCTGCACAAGTTATTGATGGAGCTACGGGGACGCCTCCCTATTCACCTTAGGGAGCCGGGGCCCAGGACCCAGTGTAGGGCAGAGGCCATTCCGGGTCACGGGGCGCGGTCCCCGCAGCCGGGCGGGCGCCGCTTCGCTCCCCCGGAGAAGGCAGGCCTGACGG